CAATGGCGCGATCTCAGCTCACCGCAACCTCCGCCTCCTGAGTTCAGGCAATTCTCCTGCCTCAGCCTCCTGAGTAGCTGGGATTACAGGCACGCACCACCATGCCCAGCTAATGTTTTGTATTTTCAGTAGGGACAGGGTTTCACCATGTTGCCCAGATGGTCTCGATCTCTTGACCTCGTGATCCACCCGCCTCGGCCTCCCAAAGTGCTGGGATTACAGGCTTGAGCCACTGCGCCCGGCCTCCAACTAGATTTTTAAAAAGATGTCTTGGAAGACCCCTAAATTGAGTATGAAAAGACAAGACATGGTTCACCAGCTGAGAGGCCATGGGAATCAGGGAGCAGGCTACCCACAAGCCTCGGACATCAGGACAGGTAGGTTGTCAAAATCACAAGGGGACACGAAGACATGGGCGCAGGACAGCAGCTCTTAATCCAAAATGGTCTCAAGACTCCTTTACACTCTGAAAAACTAACCCATTTATGCCTGAGGTTGCAATTTTTTGTGTAAAAACTCAGACCTTGGCAATGACCTTGTGCCGTAGGAATATAAATAACTCCCACAAGCTTAGCATTCCAACAATGGAACGCTAGGTATAAACAGGTTTTAATGAGAACCCAAACAGCTTTTGATTACATAGGCTTCTTTTGCCTATGTAGGTGCCTGTTTATATAATTTTTCTGTATTCTAAATTAAAGCTGAGACATTTAAAAAATACTTATTCCTTAAGGTAAGCCATCATTACATGTTAATATAAATATTTTTGAAAAATATTTCTCAAAGTAAAAAACTGACTACTTAGAGTGGTGCTGTGTTGCCTTTCTTGCAATCTCTGTAGCGTCTGGCTCAGAGGTAAAGCTGGACTCTCCCACTTGCTCTGTATCCAGCTCGCTGTGTGTCACACACCATGCCATGTGGCCTCTAAAAAGTTCACCGTGCACTTGGGCAAGAATGAGTGAAAAAGACGATGTCTTGGTAGTGGTATGAAAATAGCTTTTATCTCCCAGCCTTCCTGCGGATCATACACAGGGATTCCCAGACACGGTCTGAGACCCCTGGGAGGAATAGCCTGGCTCTGGTACCCCCATGACTCTGTTCACAGCACTGACCTCAGCTAATTAAAGAAGGTATCACCTATGATGAGAACATTAAATAAAAGTTAACCATCTTCCAAATGCATCTATATGACAATATTGTACATGGGTAAGGTACGCTGAACACAACACAAAAAAGGAAGAAAACTTACAAACACTCCCTTCATCTCATTAAAGACGACTCCTTTAAAGACCAAGGGTGTCTGGGGGTCGCTGGGATTCTCATGTTCCAGCCGCCATCCTTCCTGCCTGAGGACAAACAAATAATTATAAGCTGATAGTGACTCAAATACTCAAGCCTGTACCAACTAATGAATCATTCATTACATACCAGAAATCCAGCTCTCGTAAACATGGGAAAAAAGTGGCATCCAAATACACCGAGAGGAGATTCTGAAAGTCCTTGGGATTTTGTGTGGAAAATGGATACAGGGTGTAATCACTAGCTGGGTACAAGTGAAAACAGAAAACTTAAAATGTAACAGATTCCTACTAAAATTATTGACTCTTAAGCCTCACTTCCCCTTTGTCCTACAGACAATAAGTTGTAGCTATTCTTGGGACACAGGCAGTGGCCCTGCGCTCTGGCCCCCAGCCTCAGCAGCTGTCCCAGCTCCTAACTCCAAGTGCTGCTTTCCCAGACCTGTCTCAGGATCTGCACTCAATGAGCACCAGGGCTCATTCGTCAAGTTTCTCCAGAGACTCTCATACATCTACAACGATGACCTCATTCCCTAAGAGCATGGATTTAACCTGTTCTCCAATCTCACTCCCTCACGGAACACACTGTTCACATCAGCAGCCTATCCACTATCGTGAGTCTTACTAAAACTCAAATACCAACATTACTGGTAACTCTGGAAGCCTGGCATTCCAGTGATATCCCCAAGAGAAAACCGTTTTGAACCTTTGAGGGAAAAGTTCACAGACCTTTTCTTAAAATGCTAGTTTTTTAGGCCGGGCGCGGTGGCTCAAGCCTGTAATCCCAGCACTGTGGGAGGCCGAGGCGGGTGGATCACGAGGTCAAGAGATCGAGACCATCCTGGTCAACATGGTGAAACCTCGTCTCTACT